ATGTTCTAGAATTAGAGGGACAACTACTCACCTCTAGTTGAAGGGATTGACGGAACGATGAAATGAGATGAACGAATAGTTGACAACGTTGAACGGCGAATGGTTTCTCGTGGACACCTCCTTCTTCTTCTCGTCCTTCTCCTTCTTTCTCTTCGCCGGAGCTCCGTCGTCTTTTAGGATTCTACTGGCCGGCGTCCGTAAGGAAGGGGGAGAGAGAGGGAGTTGGATGGTTGTGTGTTAATGGTGTTGGGGGTTACAAAATGGTGAAGGGATGAAGAAGAGAGGGTTGTATATAATGGTGGTGGTATAATGAGTATTAGTGGAGAATTAAAAATGGAAGAATGAAAAAGGATGAATGGCGTGTGGAATGGTTTTGGGAGTTACAAATATTTATTTATTCCGTTATATTAAAATCTGACCAGAACGGTACGCGCTTTCCCCCCTAAACGGGTCCGAATTGAGATCCGTTTGTGTTTCCGAAATCAGAGAGTCCAAACGAATTTAATGACATGTTCAAATAATTTTTCTAAGAACTTTATTTTCAAACTTCCGGGTCCACCCCAATCATTAATTAATTTATTTATTTAATGTTGAGAGGTCCGTTATTAAAACATCTTTTTATATTAAAATACATAAGCTTTGGAAAGCCATTTAAAGAGGTCGAAATCTCAATATTTATTAATTTCAAAATAATGAGTCTCAATAAATAAATATTATTTATTTATTTAAAACTAAGCCGGTTTGTAGGGCGTTACAAAGGTCGTAGTAGTAGAGAAACATGGAACACGGGATGGATTCTCGACCCCGCCGGTAACTCTAATCGGTAGGCAGCCTCCCCTAACCGGGCTGCCACGCGGTAGGGGCCGTAGTACCGCCGTGCCAATTTCTGCGAACTCCACCGTACAACAGAGTGTTGTCTATAAGGTTGCAGCTTCAACAGTACCCACTCGCCCTCCTTGAACTGCAAATCTGTCTGGTGCTTGTTTGCCGCCGTAGTCATCCTCCGTTGTGCCTCTTTTAAATTCTCTCGCAACCGTCGTAGTAAAGCGTCACGCTCCTGCAAGAAATTGTTAACCTCCTGCACCTTGCTCTCCCCCTGGAGGTACGGTAGGAACGACGGAGGAGGTCGTCCATATAATGCTTCAAAGGGGGTGACCTTTAGGCCAGAGTGGACGCTTGTGTTCAAGGCATATTCGGCCCAAAGTAGTAGTACTGTCCACCGTGCTGGTTTATCTTGCGTGAAGGCCCGCAAGTATTGCTCCACTACCCGATTCATGACTTCTGTCTGCCCGTCGGTTTGAGGGTGGAACGAAGTACTCATCGTCAAGGTTGTGCCGCTGGCCTTCAGTGCTTCTCGCCAAAAATTACTAAGGAAAACGCGATCGCGGTCTGAAACAATCATCTTCGGGAAGTCGTGGAGTTTTACCACGATGTCAATGAACAAATGTGTCGTGCGATGGGCATCAAATCCAGCCGGTAATGCCCCCAAATGGACCACTTTGGTCAAACGATCCACAACCACCATTATAACTGTGTAGCCCCGCGACGGCGGAAGACCCGTGACGAAATCCATTGAGATGTCCTCCCATACTTGAGTCCGCACAGGTAAGGGCTGGAGTAGGCCTGCTGGCGGTTGAGTAGAATACTTGGTAGTTTCGCACGTATGGCATTTCTGGACGTAGGCCTTGACATCGGTCCTCATCTGGGGCAGTAGAAATTTTGTGCCAGTCGTAGAAAGGTCCGATGAATTCCTGGGTGACCGGCCAGTGGGGTGTCGTGGTGTTCTCGGATAAGTTGTTGTCGTAAGGCTGAAGAAGAACCCACGCATACCCGCCGCTTATAGTATAGGACCCCATCCGTAACCGAATAGGGTTCGGCCAGTCGCGCCTCACGGTGCTCCTGGTGGTGTGCAACGAGGTCCGGCTGGGTGGTGTTTTCCCGTCGTATTTCCTCCATTAGGTTCGGCACAGGTGAGGAAATTGCCAGGAGCTGCTGTCCCGCTTGATCAGCCTCGTCCCGCCGTGAAAGGGCGTCGACCACGCGGTTGGCTGCCCCCGATTTGTACTCTATTTTGAACTGGTATCCCAAGAGTTTTCGAATGTAAAAGTGTTGATCCGGAGTCTGGACCACCTGTTGTAGTAACTCCCGCAAACTTTGGTGGTCGGTACGAATCATGAATTCCCGCCCTAGTAAGTATTGTCGCCACCGTTGCACCGACTCCACAATTGCATATAATTCCTTGTGGTATGTCGACGCTGCCATTCGCCTCGGGCTGAGTTTCTTGCTAAAATATGCGACCAGTTGTTCCCGTTGAAGTAAGACCGCCCCTACCCCGGTGCCGGATGCGTCGGTCTCCACCATAAATTTTCCCCCAAAATCAGGCAGTCACAAGACCAGGGCTGTCGTCATGGCTTTCTTTAGTTGCACAAATGCAGCCTCTGCCCCTGCTGACCACACGTAGGCATCCTTTTTAAGTAGGTCGGTCAGGGGTGCGGCTATCTGGGCGTAGTGTCGGACGAAGCGCCTATAATACCCCGTAAGCCCAAGAAATCCCCTCAGCTGCTGAAGGGTGTTCGGTCGGGGCCATTGCTCCATGGCCGAAATTTTGGTCCGGTCTGCCTTCAACACCCCATTTGCGACGATGTGCCCCAAATACTCCACCTGTTCGGCCCCGAACGTACACTTCGATCGCTTGATGTAAAAGAACTATTCTGTAAAAGAGAGAATTCTTGCTCCAAGTGTTGATGATGTTCTTCCATGGTCGGGCTGTAGATTAGGATGTCGTCGAAGAACACAATTACGAAACGGAGTAGATAGGTGGCAAATAGTTGATTCATGCAGGCTTGGAACGTTGACGGCGCGTTGGTGAGGCCGAAGGGCATGACCAGGAACTCATAATGCCCTTCGTGCGTCCGGAAAGCCGTTTTGTGGATGTCCTTGTCATTCATCCGGATTTGGTGGTACCCCGACCGTAAATCCAATTTCGTGAATACCCGTGCCTTCCCCAGCTCGTCGAAAAACTCATCTGCCGTGGGGATGGGAAAGTGATCGGGAACTGTCACGGTGTTCAAAGCCCGATAATCCACGCAAAAGCGGTAAGTTCCATCCTTCTTTTGTACTAGCAACACTGGCGATGAGAATGGGCTCCTACTCGTTCGTATAATCCCCTGTTCAAGCATCTGTCTCACTTGCCGTTCAATCTCTTCTTTTTGGAAGTGCGGGTACCGATAGGCCCGTACATTCACCGGAGCCACGCCGGTTTGTAAGTGTATACGAAGGTCGGAGGTTCGGTGTGGAGGCAGCCCCTCTGGTTCATGGAATACCTCTTCAAATCTCTCCAGAAGTTCTGCAATTTCCCTCGGTATCCCTTCCTGTACCACGCCAGACCCTTCTTCTGTTGCTACCTCGGCTTGTATTTCCATGATGATGATCCCGGCATCAACCTCGTGTCGGGTATGCAATTCCCGCCGATGGTGGAGGGAGGTTTGCTTTGGGAGTACGGCATCTCCCCGTAGGGTGACCGTTTGTTCACCCAAGCCGAACTCCATCGTCACCCGCTCGTAGTCGGGCAAGACTCGCCCCAGCCCCCTCTACCATTGGACACCGAGGACTATATCATGCCCGTGTATCTGGAGGACATAGAGGTCCACTTTAAATGTCGTTCCTTGCAGCTCAAGTTCCACTTCTCGGCATTGCTGAGTGCAGCGTAATGAGTCTCCATTCCCCACGTACACCCGGAATGCCGCTACTGCCTCGAGGCTCAATCCAAGTTTCTCCATTGTGCAGGGATGTACGAAATTATGCGTGCTCCCCCGTCAATTAGTACGTCCAGCCCCTGTTGTCCAATCTTCCCCGTCAATCGCAGCGATCGCGGAGCGGTGACGCGTTCCATACTGTTCAAGCTTGAAATATCGGCCGCCACCTCAATCTCTTCCTCCTTCTCGCTGTCCTCCTCTTCTCCTTCGTCTTCCCCCATGATCAGGATAAACCGTCCGCATTTGTGTGCCTTATGCCACTTTTGGTCGCAATTGTAACATAGCCCTTTCGCGTCCTTCTCCAACCGTTCTGCGCGGGTGAGTCGTCTGACGGGTGGTGAGGTGGAGGTCTCTCGGCCTTCTAGCAGGGTTTTGGGTCCACCTCCCGTCGGATTAGGTTTGCTGACGGACCCCACCGATGCTTCTGTTGCTGCCCGATTGGGGCTATTGCGCGTGAAGTTGTTGCTCCATGATGCGCTCTTCATCCCTACCGATTGCACGATGGCCTGATGTTTGGCCTCCAACTCGCGGGCCAAGGCAAAAGACTCCCGTTGGAACACACTTTGCAAGTTAAACTAAAGTCGTGTTCATTTCTGACAGGTTTTGATAATTGCCAAACCGCCGTGGATATGAAGAGTTTCGTTGAATAACTCAAGGCGTGAAGAATGGCTTGGAACAAGACCTAAAAGACTCAAGGACAAGATCAAGAATTGAAGACTTAGTCGAGTCGGTCTTTTGTGATCAAAACCGATAATCAATTCAAGTCTCGATTCTCAAAGAGTCAAAATTATTTTGCAAAAACATAAAATGTTTTTATGCATCAAAATAAACATTTTAGATAAATTTCTTTATTGTTAAAATCTTTGGTCCTTGCTCAGAACCAAAACCACCTAAGTCGGCGTTCGGCTTTCGTCGTTCGGTTTTTGGCGCCCGAACCAACTCCGTGGTTTTCAATATTTTAAACCCTGTTTTTATCTCTGAGCATATTTTAAAGGTTCCCAAATAATTATTTTATTAAAACCACTTTTGAATCTTGGTCAATCGGTCTAACACGTGAAAAAACGGTCAAAACCGTACGCACGTGATTTACGACCTTGAGGACTTGGTTCTTACCAAACAAGTCTTGTTTTCACTATTTTATACCATATACAATGTTTTTCAAACTTGGTTTTTACTTTTGGGAACACTTCGTTTTTGGACCTCGGTTTTTCAAAACGGGTTTCAGCTGGCTAGACTTTAGCTGGGTGATAATCGATTATCACCTTAGTGACAATCGACTATCAGCCACTGCAGCTTTGAACTTCCAAGTTCTGAAGCACGCAATAATCGATTATCAGCTTTGCAATAATCGATTATCAGCNCCGAATAATTATTTTATAAAAACCACTTTTGTATCTTGGTCAATCGGTCTAACACGTGAAAAACGGTCAAAACCGTACGCACGTGATTTACGACCTTGAGGACTTGGTTTTTACCAAACAAGTCTTGTTTTCACTATTTTATACCATATACAATGTTTTTCAAACTTGGTTTTTACTTTTGGGAACACTTCGTTTTTGGACCTCGGTTTTTCAAAACGGGTTTCAGCTGGCTAGACTTTAGCTGGGTGATAATCGATTATCACCTTAGTGACAATCGACTATCAGCCACTGCAGCTTTGAACTTCCAAGTTCTGAAGCACGCAATAATCGATTATCAGCTTTACAATAATCGATTATCAGTCTTGCAGCCAAAACCCAGAATCTTCAGAGAGGACCAATAATCGATTATCACTTGTTGACAATCGATTATCTGGGTTACCGTTGTCCTCCAACGGATAAAATTTTAAATTTTTAGACAGGGAATCTTTGGATAATCGATTATCATGGTTTGACAATCGACTATCAACCTGTGTCCCTGAAAAATTTGTCTTCATCCTGTTGGAAATTCTAGCAACGGTTTTATCCCATTTTGGGCTATAAACTGGCACCCAAATCCTCTCTTTTAAAACACAATTCTTCAACATTTCAATACTCTTCTATTGCATAAGCATTCCCATTTTTCTTAGCTATTTGAGAGCCAATTCTTGAAAATTTATCGTGTTCTTGAGCGTTTACTAGTTCACTCATATCTACTCTTTGTGAGAGTTTTATTCCTAAGTGTTTTCATACACTTTAAGGGAGTTTGTTCCCTTGTTGTAAACTCGAAGGAAGTTCCTTGTTCCTTCGTGAGAAGTCTTGGAGTGCGGTATCTCCGAGCAAAAGTGTTGAGGCTCGTGTGACTCGGGGTCTCAAGTTGTATCGGTTTGTTAAGCACCCTTAAGCTTAACGGAGTTAGTGTAGCTCAAGAGAGTCTCTCGGGGGGCTGGATTAGCCACACGTTGTGGTGAACCAGGATAAAATCCGGTGTGCTCCTTCTTTACGCTCTTTACTTTAACGCTCTCATTTTAATTTCCTGCGATTTTGTTTTAAATGCTATTCACCCCCCCTCTAGCGTTGGGCCTTTATTCTAACAACTCCGACAATGTCTCGGGCCTTAAAAGGCTAATTTCATGTTGTGGGTGGTTCTTCAGGCCCGCATGAAACAACGATTGAAGGTAGGGTTGGAGTACGTCAGTGACATGGGTGAGTACCTTCTCGAATGCTCCCTGGTATTCCATTACCCCCGCCACCTGCCGCACTCGGGCTAACTGGCCGACATAATCTACGTAGTGCAGTGGGTCGAACCGGAGCTTGAATTTTGCTACAAAGTCGTCCCAATCTCTGAGCAGTCCGTTATTCCTTCGCCACCGGAACCAATCGGCTGCTGGTCCCTCAAGCATCATGGTGACGCACCGCAACCGGTCCTCCAGAGGTGTTTCGTAGTAGGCGAAATACTCCTGCACTTGATACAACCATCGCAGGGGTTCTGTGTCGTCGCTCTTGGGCGGCTCTAGCTTAGGTTTTTGCGTCTGGAACCCGCCTCCCCTAGGGCCCTCGTGGTGATCTGGGTGCCGCCCTATTCGGCCACCACCGCCGCCTGCTTGGAGGCCGGCCACGGCGGTTTGGATCGTAGCCAGAGCCCCGTCAAGCCTCTCGAACCTGAATTCCAAATCTCTCTGCATCTGCACCATGGCGTGTCCCATCTCGTGAACCCTAGAATCGAGTTCATGCGTGGTGGACGATGCGTCAGTCATGTCTCTCAATGAGAGCACCTTGATACGTGAAGGATAGGGGAGGGCTTCGAGTGCCTCCAAACTCCAATAGGAAATTAGGGTTTTTGATTATGAGATGCTGAAACCAAGAGAGTACATCCCGTACTTATAATATTTGAGAAACCCTAACCCTACACTACCCTGTCGGTTCAAAAAAGGCGTCAAGGGAAACCCTTGAAGTGACTTATAATACGTCCACCTAAGAAAATCTATTACATAAAATAATAAAATAATAAAATAATTTACTTTAGAACATAATCACCGTGCCATCCCGGTGTTTTCCTCCGACGCTGACTTCGCGGCTTCCCACGTTCTTCCTGGGCTGGTTCCTTTTCTTCTTCGGCCCGTTTGTCCTTGGTTCGGCCCGTTGCCTTATTCTGCTCGTCCACGCCCCCATCTTGGGATCCATGCACCCCATGCGTAACACATATGCAGATGTGGGATATTTCTACTCTTACAAGAGTAGTAAGAATGAATCATGTTGGTGTAACATTAGTCTCAACTCTAGCAAAGTCTTGAGGATTATTATGTTGTTGCCCTGAATCATGTTAGACTTAGTGTAACATTAGTCTCAAGTCTAGCAAAGTCTTGTGGATTATTATGTTATCACATCGACTCTACTGGTGTGATTTATTTTGGAGTGATTTGTATATCTGGAGATGCGGTTCTACTTAATATTCAATTTATTTTGCATTGTCACTATGGAGAAGCATTATTATTTTTAATAGTTAACTAGATTCATACTCATACGACCCACGGAGAGAAGTTTTACTAAAATTTAAAATCTAAGTATTACAACAACAATAACAAAGCCTTATCCCACTAGTTGGGATCGGCAACATAGATCAAACAATGTCATTATGTCAATCATATTTGTAGCTAGATAATTTGTGTGCTGGTTCCTTTTGCTATTTTCTGCTAAGTTTTCTTAGGTGTGTCTCTTTTCTTAGTCACATGTCTATTCAGCATTCGATTAACTCTTCTCATTGGATGCTCTATTGGTCTTCTTTCCACACGTCCAAATCATCTAAAGTGAGTTATGGTTAAAAAATAAATGCAAATTATTTACTTTGTGATTAATTATTTTTTAGTTAGAGAAAAAACTACATCGTCATTGTATATTAACTAGATTTTTTATCCATGCCTAGCATGGTATATAAATTATTTTATTAAAAAAAGGAAATTATTAATTTTATCTAAATAAGAATTAAATGTAAAATAGAAAACAATATGAGTATTGTTTGTCTTGAGAAAAAATGCAATGGCAATTAGAAAAAATATAATCTTTTTGGTAGTACATTCTACACATAGCAATGTATAGTATTCTCTTTGTCCCAAATTAAGTTATTTGTTTGTTATTCATAGAGTTAAACTTTTTTTTGCACATGCTACACAAGTATAACTTTGGTTTACGGAAATAGTTTCATCCATTGCCTTTAAATTTTATTTTTAAGATCAAGATTATCATTTTTTAAAATTTATTTCTTTTTTCCAAAGCATGAATTTTAGTCTTGGCAACTTTTAGAATCTTTTTATATTCACCAAATAATTCTTGAAATGCTTCTTGTAATTCTTCAAAGGAAAAAGAAGAGTTAGAAATTTTTACCTCTTGTTCTTATTGGCCACTAGACAAAGAGTGGCTTGTTCATCACCATGAAAAGCTTCATATTTGGCTCGAAGCTCATCCCAGATTCCTTTTGCCATGCAACATTTGGAGATACTTTGAAATTGTACATCTTCTTTGGTATATTCTTCTTGGATTTATTCACCATCTTTTTCCCCACATTCTTTCTTGGCAAATTTCTATCATTTTTTATTGCTAGCTAGAGTTTAAAATGAATTGATTGGATAAAGATTCTCATACGATCTTTCCAATATGAGTAATTTGTTCTATCGAATAATTGTGGCCTCAAGGTGGATTATCATTCGCTAAACATGCATGAGCTATAATATCTTTAATTTCAACAGGTTAAGGCTATTTATAGAGTTAGTCTCTAATACCAGTTATTAGAATGTATGTTGAATGCTAGAGGGGTGTGAATAGCATTTATGGACGATTAAAAAAATTGTATGAATATTATTGAAAGAAATTCAGAATAAATAAATTTAAAACTCTGTCCAAGAAATTCAGAATAGGATTTATACGGCTTTTTTTTTTTGAACGAAATGCAAATATTATTAAACACCAAATCACCATTACATAGGGTCACCATTATATTGGAATGTGTATAATCACAAGCTCTCTAAAAGATACAAGATCAACATATGAATATAAGAGTATATACTTATAATCACAAGCTCAATATGTGTGTATAAAAATCAGGAAAAAAAAGAGCAAGGCTCTTTATAGCGAAAAACACACTTTACAATATAAAATGGGATATTAGAGATGGTTTGATGATTAAAAAACAATGAATTGATTTGGGTATTTAAAGGGATGAATTATGAGCCTTTACATTTAAAATATATAGCTGTAAAGAGGCTTCAAATACCATAAATAAATTGATAAAACCATTGGAGAAATATCCAATTCAAAATATGAACGTTATAGGTTATTTTAGGTTCAAAACATGCCATGACTGTCAAAATTTCACCATTAGTGGTGTGTAAATCTGACCATTGTATACCAAAGGTATAATGATCATCGATGGTCACCAAGACCACCATCGATGGTCAAGCTGAAAATTGCCTAACTCACCAGTTTTCTCCAAAAAATATATTTCCAAAAGTCCAAAAAATTTTTGGGAAAATATTTCATCAACTAAAAAAGGTTTTTAAGATATATAAAAAATATTTTAGGTGACAAAATATTTTCTAAAAAATATTTAAAAACCTTTGGGCCTTGAGAAAATAAATGTGTTGTCCTCACAAAGAATTCTACATAATGACCTACGTCTTCGGATCTTCGGTCTTGAATTCTTTTTAGAAATTATCTTAAATAGGACTAAAACATAGAGAAAAGTACCAAAATAGGACTTTCATGTTTTTTTCCCGGAATAGGACTTTGCACTGTGGTAATGTGACTTTGCTTTGTGGTAATGTGGCAGTGTACATGTACAAACTATTATATTTTTTTGGTAATGTATATGACCATGTTTGGTAATGTAGTCCTATTTCAGGAATAAAAACATGGAAATCCTATTTTGGTATATTTTCAATGTTTTAGTCCTACTTTGGTCTTTCTCCCAATTCTTTTTCTTGACATTTTCTTCAAGTAAGATAAATAACCTCTTGATTCTAATCACTTAGAGATTGTTTGTCATTTATCAAAACCAGTCAATAAAATATATTTGTACCAAACAAGAGTTTTGGACTCATGTAGTCCTACATTACACTCTTCATCAACGACATCTTGACAATCACAGTCTTCCACGTTTTGAGTATGCTCTAACTCCTTTTCCATTTCGCCCTCGAAACCCTTGATATCGTCAATATGAACTTCTACTTGTACCTTATAGTTATAGCTTGAGCTACCAACATTCTCCGGCTCTCCATGCCATATCGATTGCTTTTATGTCGAGTCGAAACCCTTGCAATACACATGGATTCTTATATCCTTAACGTTATCAACCATAAAATAATTATGGCATGCATTACAAAGGCATTATATCTTTTCTCCCTCTTTTGAATGTTTCCCTACGAAGCAAATAAACTCCTCCAGGCTCCAACCCCGTACAAAACTCAACTGATGTCTGTGGCAAATCAATCCAATTTCAACCCATGATATGTATTACTAGCTAATAGATGAACAAATGAAATGGTTGGATGCAAAACAATGCAATGAAAATAATTATAACACCCATTTGACATATATACCTACAAATAAAAAAACACAAGCAACACAACAATTCATTTCATATGATGCAACAAAAAATTGACATTATTTTCCCATCTATATGCTCCTTCTTTACTTCATCCTAACCCATTTCTAAAACTCTAACCTCACTAGTGAATGTATTCCATTTTGTTTGAACCACAGAAATTTCGACAACATTTCTCAATGGTTCTCCAAGTACATGAAATAATACAGTTATATATGCACCCGAAGAACACATTTAGGAAATGCCAAGAAGAAAAATATAGGAACAAAGAAGAAGAATTGCATTCACCACCCAAGTGAGGTAAGCAGTTTTAGAACATCCCTTATAATTTTTTCAACCATCCAAAAGGCTTTAAACAAAATAGGAAATGATTTAGCCAAGAATGAAAAAACCAACACAATGGTCTAATACCTAACTATTGTCAGCGGGCCCAGCTACCGTGACCCTGGGCCCCCCTACCATAACAACTATCGTTAAGACAGCTACTGCCAAAGAATCTTTGCCTGAGAAGATACCTAGCTACTACCTCAAGGTACCCTTCTACTGTGACCTTGAGACCCCGCTATTGTTAGGCGGTACCTTGCTACTGCGTCCAACGGTCAAATTTTTCAAATTTACTTATTTCACTCTTGTCAGATTAATGATCCCAAATCCTTCCTGTTCTCTCAAACGGTCATAAACAGACACCGAACATTCTCCACTATAAATATGACCATAATCCTTCATTACTAATCATCAACCAAAGCTCTAAATTTCATATTTCATATTCTATGTGTGTTCATCTCTTTATTCCTCAATCTTAATATTTGGCTTGTTAGATCCTCTTTTTATCCTTATTTTATACACACACATTGAGCTTGTGATTATACATATATGGTCTCATATTCATAGGTTGATCTTGTATTATCTTAGAGAGTATAATCCTTGTTCTTCACCTGACAAGGATTGACAAGTATTATTTTCATGTGTTTTTATACACATTTCATAAAGGATAGTCGAGAAATCCTTCGGTAAATGGTTCGAGGATAGCCTCTGAATCCACAGGGGAAGGGTTGAAGATATTCTGCAAATCTTCGTTGTAAACGGTTCGAAATAGCTATGGTGAAATCTAAGGGTGAATCCTATTGACAAGAGTTGTTTGCCAAAACTAGTGCGGTACTTTGACGGAGTTCAAGAAACTGAGACTTAGTGGATTCAAAAATCCTTAAGGGGGAGCCTTAAGGTACTGGAATCCTTAGTGCCATTTGCTTTACGTTTTTAATTCTATGTTTTATCCATTGCTTCGGTATCTGCCACACACCGATTTTATTAAACCTCAAAAATCTATATATGCCTTATTCACCTCCCTCTAAGGCATGAACATATCTACTAGCAATGGTATCCGAGACGGTTTCGTAGTTAAAAGTGTTTAACCACATCTACAACAAAGATACTTATGCCCATTTTTCGGTTGGGATTTTAGATTTCCATACTTTTTGTATCTCTAACTTTAAAATTCATATTTTTGAAAAATGGTCTCCAAAGAATCAAAAACGGAGGGAGTAGTAAACATTATAAACCAAAATGAGACAAAACGGTTCAAAAAATACATTTTTATTTAATGCACAACATGTTGTGTGTTGATTTAACATTTAACCGCCCTCCATTTTTCAATGGCCAAAATTACTCGTATTGGAAAATGCAAACAATGATTTCTACAATCTGTTGACTAGGTTTTATGGATAAACATGCTTCACGAGCCATTTGTGCCAAGTAATGGTAATTTTGCAGGGTTATCTACCAAGGACAAGAGGAAACTATCAATGAACGCAAAGGCGGTCAACATTCTTCATTGCTCCCTTGGTCCCCGAAGAATTGGCAAGAGTGAGTTCTTGCAGATCTGCAAAGGAGGTGTGGGGGAGAAGAAAACAAGCACGAGTATTGGGGAACATTGTGAATCCTAATGGTATTAGGGAGGTTTCTGTGTGGGTGAAAATATGTTTATATAGTGTTTAGCCCAAATATACAAACACCCACCGTATAGAAATGAAGTGAAAGATACGACTAAGAGTAGACATTGTAAAAGCTCCTAACATAGTACTCCGTAACACTCGAAACGAGTTCATGCAGATGAACTCAGTAAAATAAAGAAACAAAAAACATACCCAGTATTACTCAACCAAATATGCCTGCCTGCATCCATCACTTTTGACTATTTTGGAGGGTCATGCTAAAGGTGAGTTACAAGATGAACAGAAATTCTAAAGAGCATGAAATATACCCCAGCTAAAACTTACAGAGTATAGCAATACAGCAAAAGCCTACGACAGTAAAGTATCATCAAGTAGATTGAATGACCCATAATCCATCACATTAAAATAATCCATCACATTAAATACTGACACAATCGAATTCTAAGCCAGCTACATAATTAGTGGTACCACGTCCACAAATAAATCACAACAATTCACTTCAACTCTAGCATGAGATACAACATATGGTACAGTTATTAAATAGTACGGAGTACATGAGACACGAAGTTGCGGCATCCTTTTATTACTAGACTAGGAATCTCCCGAATCTCCCCACATTATTCGAGCACACCACCACCCTGGAACTTCAATGCGGCAAAATTAAATGAATCACTCCGTATTAGATACCTGCCATCAGAGAAACCTGAGGCCCCTTCCAAGTCTCATTGCCAGAGATGCCATGACCCTTAATGCCGGAGTTGGAGGTGGAGAAAAACAAGCTTGTGATTTTGCAGTTTTTCTCAGATTCTGCAAGGCTGCAGTAGAATATGGCCGTTTCCCCATCCTATGCCCAGATCTTGCATTGCAGAACCCTTGTAATTGAGCAGGTGAGATATTTCCAAACCATCCCTACAGAAAGAAAAAAAAAGAACGTATCACTAGCAATGGAGTGCTATGACAAGTGTAAACCCTCCATATGAAGAATTCACCATTGTAAAAGCCTCTACGATGCATCTTTGTTAACGCCAAACCGAAGACGTTGAAACACCCAGATTGAAGACTTTGCAAAGGCCAATCATACTCAAAAATGAAAAGAGAAGAAATAGGTCTAAACAGGCATGTTCAGCTTTCCAGACCATTTACATGTATATACTAGTTTCACTTTCATCATCACCATTGTAAAAAACTCTATAGTGCAATTTTGTTTATGCCCAACAGGAGATGTTGTAACACAAGACTTCAGCTTCGTAAAAGCCCAACAGGAGATTTTAATTTGAAAAGAGGGCAAGGCTTACAAGGGTATGCTCAGGAGTCTAGATCCTCTACATCTACACTATTTTCACTATGAGAATTCATATATTGGCATGGGAACATTCATGGTATGTATCCTAACCAATAATGGATGACCACTGTTAGAGACAAAAGCATACTACTCGCAAATAACTAATACAATTACTCCCAATATAAAGGGACCCAAAAGAAAAACATAAGAAATAAAAACACATAAGAAAAAGAAAAGATTTTTAGCACCTTGTGAAGTTGACATTAATGAAAATGAAGTAATGTTTTAGAATAAACCATAACTGATGTAATAAGGAAGGGGCTACATTGAAGTTCGTTCAGAAAAACAAAACAAGTTAAAGATAAAAATAAGAGAAGTTAGGCATGTGTTATCATGGCGTGAGGAGGTCTTGACCATCTCCGTCACGCCCCCACCCCAAATGCACGGGAGGGTTGCCCTTGCAGCAGTGATGGCCATCACGGCCTTCTCTCAATTTTTTTTTTTAAATTTTCAACCAATCATAATTTAACACAGTCACTTCACACAATCAAAATAAGCCCCACCAAACAGTCTTAAAATACTTACTTTCACTGGTTCCCACAAATACAGGAGATCAGGAGAGCGCACAGAGGGGAACATGTGTTTCTGACTCTTGTCACTGCCATCCTTTGGTTTAATACCTAAAATTCAAAAGGCACGACAACACGTCTTG